AAAATAAATTTGTTGAAGAAACCAAACCGTGCAGAAGGTAAACATCGGCCTCACATGTCAGTTTATGTAACAAAAGATAAGAAAACACAAATGAATACATAACTAAGCATGAGCCCGTTACCTGTCTTAGCGGCATTTTTGTGTCATATCATTGAACTCCAAGTCATGGATCGGACATTGAAATACCGATACCGCGCAATATCCCCTTTCAGACAGCAGTTGTGTTCTGTTTGACTGCAATGTCGGCCATTCGGCGGCGCCGCTGCTGCTGACGCCACCGTGGCTGGCGACGTGCCAGTGTTGATAGGAGGCCAGGCCGGCGTCATACCGCCGCGCTGCCTCCGGCTGGGGGCATCTGTAACACGGCGGTTTCTCGTGCCCAGGGCGGGGCGCGCCGGTGTTGTTGTCAGCCCTTGCCAGAAGAGATGCTCTGCCGGTCCAGGTGTATTGTCTTACGAGCACAACACAGAGCGATGGTCAGCTACGGTGTCGGTCGAGACCGACGCAGAAACGCGTCCGGCGTGGTCTGAGGCTGGGGGTCTTCTCTATACAAGCACGCGGAGCAGATGGTATGTGTCCAGCGGCTGTGGAGCTCGGAGGTCTCCTCGAGCGAGAGAGAGCACGTCCGACGCCGATGATGGCTCTAGGTCTTCTCCCAGTCCCCCCGATCGGGTGACTTCAGCAGAACTATCCTACTCTAAGGGCGGTGGCCCTCTAACCCTGCGTGGCAGCTTACGATTGGCCTGGAGCTAGCGTTATATAAGATTTGCACACTGTGATTGGTTGTCGCAAGTCGAACCATCGGGAAGCCTCCAGCGATCACGCGTCACGTGAGTGTGTGCATCACGCGCTGGTCCCGTGGTGTTAAAAGCATCCGGCTACGCAACGTTGCAAAGACATCAGACGGCACTTAGCAGGCAGCGGCTGACTTCTAGGTATAGAGTCTCTAGAGCACGTTTGACAGAAGGCAGACTAAAAGCTGACGTTTGTAGATAACACACCGGCGGCGCGGCGCAGAGTGCTGGAGACGATGAGTCACGATCATGAATAAACTATGACGCGTCGTCTGCCGGCCGCGGGGTCAGCTGCAGTGAGCTGAGCGCGAGCGAAGAGCGGTAAAGGTAATAAGCGTTGAAAATGCGAAATTGAATTATAGCCACCACGCAGGTATAATTAGACTACGAACTAATTAAGCCTAAACCCATAAAAATATAAGCAGCAATGAAATGCAAGGCAACGGCGATAAACAATGACACAATAATGACACACACTTTACACATCGGGAAAACTCCCGACACGGGCCGCCCAAGGGACGACGTCCGAAAGATCTGGGACTCCGTTTGGATCAGGTTCAGAGGAACGGCACGCGTGAAGGAAAATGTTAAACACCTACACCTACAGAGCGGTGCCAGCGCGCACCAGCGCGCTCTGCCTGGGAGCTTGTGTCGCGACCATTTGATCACCCCGTTGTCAGAGTGAAAACACATTCCAGATTCTGTCCATTCAGGATTCTAAACAAGTCTACTCCAAAACCATTGGAGACATTGACACGCTACTTTGCAGACTGCTCACTACAAAATTCAGCGTCCGAGCTGGTCTGTGTGGCCACTGGCCAGTACAGCGGTCCAGCTGATCTGTGGTCTGTGTAGTCAGTCAGCGGCCCAGCTGTTCTGTGCAGTGCCAGTCAGCGGTCCAGCTGGTCTGTGTGATCCACTGACCACTCAGCGACCCGGCTGGTCTGTGGTCTGTGGGGCCAGTCAGCGGCCCCGCTGGTCTGTGCGATCGCTGCTCAGTCAGCGACTCGGCTGGTCTGTCAGTGGGTGATTCAGCTGGCAGCTGGCAGCCATCGGATCCGGCGGAAACGCTACTCTACAGTGACGCTCGGGTGACCCAAATAGCGACCGCCCTTCGGACGGCCCAGTGGCGGCGGAGTGTCCCGGTGAAATATGGGTAGACAGAGGCGGCCCAGAGACGAACTGCCCCAGCGAAATATACAGGCGGCTCGGCGGAGTGTCCCAAGGAGACACAGGAGCGTAGAACTACAGACGCAGATGAGTGCTTCAGAGGGATGCAAGATGAAGGTTATAAGGAAGACCAGACCGTTCGCTAGCGAGTGTGAAGGGGAAGAGCGGGTGTCTGAAAATCACACCATAAAACAAGGGCTTTGAAGGCACTGCGACACATGTTTCACAGACCGAGAAGTCCCTTTATATCAAACATCTGTCCTATGTGATACCCTTGGTGGTGTCGGAAGCCGGCTACCTACTGATTTCATCTTACTGACAGGCTGCATCAGGCAGGTTGTAATATTTTCGGGGAACTTCTGTCATCAATTCGACACGGAAGTCAATGAAATGCATCGGTGGAAAGCATCCCCGGGAAGTACTGTTTACTGTTTTTATTAGTTAATGTGAGGCAGGTGGACTGAAACGCTGTCTTCGTACCTACATCAATTGAGCGACCGGCGTGGTGTGTGGTCTTCATTCACAGCGACCTTGTGCTCTCCTCTCTCTCTCTCTCTCTCTCTCTCTCTCTCTCTCTCTCTCTCTCTCTCTCTCTCTCTCTCTCTCTCTCTCTCTCTCTCTCTCTCTCTTTCTCAATATCTCTGCTCTTCCTCTACATCCTCACCCTCTCGCCTTTGAATCAACAGGACGCTTTTGTCACAAACACTGGCTTGAACGACAGGCTTGAACGACAGGGCCAGGTTTACAAATCAACTCTAGAGTTAGATTCACAATTCACACACTCCTCCATTCTTGGGGATCCTCACAACACGGTGGGCTCGGCAGAGAAGATGCAGCAGTATTGTTGCCTATGAGAACTGCAATCGGCTGTGCGAAAATGTAACCTTCTGGAAATCTGGTATCCCTTGAAGACGCTGGGTCATACCCCGTTGTTGGATCATACCTACTTGCTGAATAATTGACCCGTAGCTGGGTCAATTTTTCAGTTATGCAAGTGACTGACCAAGAGTTAATCGTGATTGCTGAGGTGGATGTCTCGTCTCCGGGGCTTGCCTCCGTGTAAGGCAGTCTGCCCTGTCCCCATGTGATGCAGTCTGCCCAGTCCGCGGGAGATACAGTCTGCCCTGTCCCCATGTGATGCAGTCTGCCCAGTCCGCGGGAGATGCAGTCTAATATGTTCTGACTCGCCCCCTGGGGACCGCATCACTGACGTTCGGCGGCCTCTCCACCCCCCAGCGGCGCAGGCTCTGCACCCCCAGCGGCGCCGGCCGACATCCCCCAGGGACTGTTTATTTTACTGCTCGTCGAGACCTGACCCATATTTCAACACGCGCATCGCAGCGACCGCCACCGAATCCAAGCTTTGAAAATACATTTGGCACCAAGTCGCCCGCGTCTCATAAGCTGATTGAATGTGGCTGCTCCCGGAGCCAGAAATATCAAACCATTTCTCAGTAATAGGAACCATGAATACATTCCATGACCACCCACGCTGAAATGTGCATCTTGTGTCACCAAGGATCTACTAATGACCAAACAGCGCGAAACTGGTGCATTAGAAAAAAGATCAATAAAAATGACAAAGAAATAGTTCGCTATGTTTTACCACGTCACGGAAAGGGTTAGCGAAGGGTACAGCAGCTTAGCCCTTGCCGGGTGATGCTGGATAAGCAGCAGGACAAACGTCACGCCATGTGTTCGTCCCGGTTCCACCAGGCTCGGCATCCGACTGACCTGGAGCGTCGTCGGCGGCCGCCGCAGCAGCTCTGGCACAGCTTGCTCATGGCCGCCTCCCGTCACACTGTCACCGCATCTCAGCGCGCTCACAGGTCTCACCGGACGGGGCGCTCACAGTTCTCACCGGACGGCGCGCTCACACCTCTAACCGTACGGCGCGCCCACACAGCCCACCTCACGGCGCGCCCACACAGCCCACCTTGCGCCGCGTCTGGCCGCGTCTCGCCGGGCCGCGCCACGCTCGTCGCCGCCGCGCCGGAACTGGCGGTGCCCGGCCCGCCGACGGAAGGTGCTCCGTCTCTCGCCGGGCGCGCCGTGTAAAAATAGAGGCCGGCGCCCGCTGGGCCGCGGCGGTCGCCGACATGGAAGGTCTCGGCCGGACCCACGGCCGCCATGTTCAGTGGAATGGCCTGTGGAATGGCCATCTGGGACTCGTAGAAACAGCAGGTAAAAACGGGCGCGGACGGAGACCGGAGGAATCGAGAGGGGAGAGAGACGCTGCGCCAGGAACTTCAGGAGGGAAGTCGTGTTTGGGATCGGCGGAACTTTTACGGGACTAAATTGCATGTTTTCGTGCTTCGCAGGGCCATGGCGAAAGATGAAAAATGATGCATGAACTTACAGGATTCATGGTTTCAGAATTCAGATGATTAGGAAATCGTACTTACTATTTTGCATTTGCACATGTATAAGACGGATGGAGAGGACGGTGTGAAACGCCGACGGCGCCCAGGGGTAGGTGAGATCTCCATGCATGCCGATGCGTATTTCCCTGAGCCTGTGGCTGTCGCCCGCCGCCGCAGACAGCAAGGATGGAGCGACACTGCTCTGGACTAGGCCCCCGCTGCAGGGTCGTGTCCATGGCGGTGGGAAAAAATCGGAGTGCTCTGTCCAACCACTCTGCCGAGCCTGTCAAGTGTCAACGGCCGCTTCAGCGAGCCAGGGAAGACCGAATGACCGACACTCACCAGGTCCCAGACCAGGACTCTCACCAGATTGAGATGGCAGCGAGGTGATGGGTTCTGGATACTCACCAGGTCATATACCAGACCAGGACACTCACCAGGCCACCGTCCAGGACACTCACCAGGCCACCGTCCAGGACACTCACCAGGCCACCGACCAGGACACTCACCAGGCCACCGACCAGGACACTCACCAGGCCACCGACCAGGACACTCACCAGGCCACCGACCAGGACACTCACCAGGCCACCGACCAGGACACTCACCAGGTCAGCGAGGTGGTCGGACCAGGACACTCACCAGGTCAGCGATGTGATCGGTCCAGAACACTCACCAGGTCAGAGATGTGATCGGCCCCTCCAGTCCCACTGTGATGATGGTCGTCTCGCCGATATAACCGACCATCGGCTCAGAGGGCACCGTCAGCAGCGGCGGCTCCACGGCCTCTGTGGAGGGAGGGAGGGAGGGCACCGTCAGAAGGGGTGACTCCACGGCAGAGCGAAAGTCACTGGATTTTAAAAGGATTCCAACGCACTGTACTATTAAACAAGTTTTATAATAAGTGTTTTATGCATTCGGTTTATCCGATTAGCGTTCAATGAAACAATTTACGCGATTGTAAGTCGCATTTTCTACAAAGGATGTCGCTATTTTGTTGCGTTGGTGTTTCTTTTCGAAAGTTGTCATTTCGATGCCGACCTCTAGCAATAAGGCTGTGCAATAAGTGCAAGGTCCAGAAGATTTTAATTAACAAACTGGCGAGACCTCCGAGACCTCGACTCTGCAATTGGCCTGGCCTAACCCGGTCCCGTGACGATTTTTCAGCCTAATATATCAACAATCGATCTGCCGATCAACAGGCGGTTCTCTGTATTCAGGCAGACTCATCCCTAGAATCATCAACTGTTTTGATACATATGGATAACCAACACAGCACGTGCCACGTGCCGTGTCAGGGGTGCCAGAATTGTTCCGTTTACAATAGCTCCGCATCGAACGGACGAATGGCGCTGAAACTTGGCCAGTAGCGAAACATGAGCCGAGTGATGCAGTCCCGTGCATTACGGTTAGGGTGCTAAACTGCACGTGAGTGCGTGATTGGATTGATTCTACATCTTTAAAATGGCTGCAGGGCTGGTAGCATTTTTAAATGTAACACATTGTCAAGTGCCGATTGTGTTGTAGATATTTCAGTTTGGGTTTCTTTGCACGTGAGCACGTGCGGGGTGACGCTTTCTTATCTCGAGAACGGCTGGGCCAGTTGCGCTCATAGTTGATATACCTTTGCGTTTGCGGATCGGCTAGAAGGGAAGCCTGCACAAGTTTCGCATTGTACTTTCTAACGTTTTTTTTTATTAAATAAATTTAGTCCGAACCTTTGATTTGAAGGATTCACAAGGACAGAGCCCCCGCTAAGCGAAGCTTGTTGCGTTGACCCTGCCCTCTACCCTCCGATCGCGCAATTCCAGTTTTTGGGCAGAATTTAAAGCCCGCAGACGTGCGCACATAGCCGCGCACGGCCGGTCCCTTCAATGACTTCGCCTGGCTACGGCCTGCCACCAACCGCAATCATACCCGTCAGGAGGCCCATAAACGTCAAGCGCCCGTTGCGCTTCGAACCCGGACTGTTGTAAACGGGAATGCGTGCTCTCACCACGCGAAGTCCAACGCTCTACCAACTGAGCTACGGGACCGGCCAACGTCATATCATATGTCATAGCGTGAGCCGTGTGTTATACGCCAACTGTCAAGAAACATTCCGTAAACATGTTGTTATCTATTTGGTTGGACATAGGTATGTTTTCTATGACCCGTGACCTCAAGTGACAATCGGATCTACCCCCCCCCCCCCAGTGACCCACTGCTGCTGGCGCCGAGATCAGGTCACGTGACGCCCGGGACAGACGGCAGCTGCCAAGACCCCCGCGGCGGCAGGTCTGTCTCGCAGCCCGGACCGCGGTGGAAGGGGGAGGGGACGGGGGATATGGATGGCTCTGGGAGGCCCCGGAGCGCTGTCGGGTGATGGGTGCGGGCCGTCCGTCCTGTCCAACTGTGCACATCCCCCTGACGGGGCCTCACATGGGATGTAATCGCTCGACCGGCTCAACTGCGCCATTTGCAGCGAGGCAATAAGGGGTATGACTTATGTACACCTAGGCACCGCGCCCGACCGGGCATTCTTAACTAACAGATGCCTACCTCTTCTGTAAGCTTTACGTCTCGTGTTAGACGGGCTAAGACTTAAGAGTACGTACGTCCTAGCCACCCAATCGAATTCAGATTTCGACATACCCCTCTCGGTTGTGGGCGGCGTTCACACAGGGTTCGGGTCCGGGTGACGCTGCACTGTAGGCCGGCAGCCTGAAAAAGCGCTAGAAATTCCCCCAAACTGACTGTCCGCAATATGAACAAAATAGGTATCATTTAATCCCAAATTGATCGAAGAATACGATTCCGATGCTAGTTTTGCCCTAAGGTCAAAATTGAGGTCGTCAGTTGTCACCAAACACAAGACAATTTAGACTCTCTATAGGCCACCACATTTACCGATTTTAATGATGAACTTTAGTGGTAATTTATTAGTTGACCAATCGTCGTTTTGAACGAAATTTCCTGTCAGACTAGTTCAGGGCACTGTTGTTCACTGTGCCAACATCATTCTGACATATTGCATCGCTTTTCTGCAAGATAAGCTAGCTGTTTGCAAGCAGCTGCAAGACGTTATTTAAAATCATATCCAATTTTTTAATTAGACTTTTATAAAAACGTTATTTCGAGCGGCTAAAAATGAAAATTTCATACTAGCCTCTGATTACTCATCTTTTGTTCCATATAGGTGCTTTGCTGCTTTTCCCTGCTACTTTTCGAGATATGCGCCAGTAAACCACATGATGTAGGGGCAATTGTCACCTCGCCGCTCTACTGAAGGCCCGGCGCTCTTTAAAACGCTGGAAGTTGTGAAAAACAAACGCTTATAATCTAAATGAAATATATGTCCCTGAGCTCAGAATTGATCAACGCACACAATGCTGTCAACATTTCTGGGCCAAACTCAAAAATTCAGTCATTATTAACCCCTAACACAAGTCAGTGATAATCAACAACAACTTGCTCTTTAGTTAGACTTTTTGAGAAATGTTATTTCGAGCCGTTAAAAATGGCCATGCCATACAAACCACCAATCATCTTTCTGTCATGCCCTACTCGCAACTTTTGCTAATGCCTGCTACTCTTCGAGGTCACGTGACCTCACCATTAAAAGTGAATGGGGAAATAAGGAAACTGTTGTTTTTGCGCATGGAATGATTTCAAACTATCTCAAGCACACGGAATCGTGATTTCGTGCACTCCTTGCAAGATCCGATGCTTTACTTTTGCATTTTTGACCTTCCGTGACGTCATTTATGACGTCACACCGGTCATAGGAGTTTCTCGTCAATAACTCATGATCAAATTGAGCCAGCGACTCGGGAAAGCCACCAATGGACTCGGGAAGACCTCCCGAATCGAATGATATGCGATACGACCTCCTTCGATTAAGTTCGTGGCCTGATGGGCTCTGAACTGACCTTGACTCGAGGTCAATACCTTAAGTTGACCTCACCCGAACAAAAAGTATACCATTCGACGCGCCTGAGCCAGGCGAACATGATGGTGCCAAAGTCGCTGCTCTGCGGCCATTTTTGCGAAATTATTTGCCAAAAACCAAACCCTACCTTGGGCTTTTTGACTTCACCTCAGAGGTTACCGGTTGACCTGGGACCTTAAAATCGGGTATCAATCGTTCCGCCTTGAAACGGCGCACACGCTTGTTTTTTTCCGCTAGGCTCTAGCTCCATTAGAGGCGAAACGGCAAAAAGGGGTCGTACCAACCCTCCCCCTCGGCCGGCCGAGGGGGTGGGGGGTCCGACAATAGGTCCGGCGAGGGTTAAGCAGCCCCACTTCGTTTTTAGCATGTTTGCTTGTCACTGAGATCAACAACTCAATCACAAATAATTTCTAGCACTTTTCCGGACCTCCGGCCCAGTGTGCGCTGGTCCGGTAACTCACTTTGTTGGCTGTCCTCCCTGTAGAACGGGCTGACGCCGCGCGGCCGGTCCGCCCCGCCGCGGCCAGCTGACGGTGACCGGGGCCGGGCGCGGTGACCTTGACCGGGGTCAGAGGTCACAGCCGGCCGGACCGGGCCGTCGGCCGGCACCGCGCCCGGCGCCGGCCCTCTCGGAGGCAGCACCGCCGAGTCTGAGACAGACAGAGGACAGGTTGATAGTTGCAGCATCTGTTCGCGTTCATCAGCTGGGAGGCCCATTTCCGGTGGACAACGAACACCACATATTTAAAAATATTGTCTCAAGTCATCCCGGAATTTCGACATCAATGCGAAAAACGACTGCTGATGTGAACAATAATATCAGCCGCCAGGGGCGGATCCAGAAAATCTCCAAGGGAGGGGCCATTAGAAACCAGGAGGCCCCCCCCATAATCCCACCTGTTGGAGGCCCCATCTTCCCACTTGTTGGGCCCCCCCTCCCCCCAAAAAAAACTGCGTCTATTGAGCTTATCTAGCTGTTCAGTCAACATCTCAACATCTGTGCAGGCTTGGAGGCCCTCTGTGCAGGTTAGGAGGCCCTGTAAAAGTGGTCATTTCTGTGAGTATAATAGACCTCCAAGTTATGAAAAGTTTTACCAATCTTCTAACAAAGAAGTCTTCTCAGCTAGTCTTCTAAGAAATAACTAAGTGGGTAGGTTAAAAAAAAAAAACTCATCGGATTTCGGCCACTTTATTTTCAGGAGGCCCCCTTTTCAGCTTTTTAACTTTTTAACTTTTTATTTTATTTTTGAAAAAAATCGGCCAAGGGGGGGGCCATGGCCCCCATGGCCCCCCCTTGTATCCGCGCCTGTCAGCCGCCAGCCGGTAAAACTTACATATTTTCATATTAGCGGTTATCTCTTAGGATGTTTGGTTGTTGGAAACCTAGAGACAAAACTAACGACATGGCCGGTGATTTATTCCTGTTGATAAGACTGATTAATATCCCTCTGCCTGTACATTTTCATTCCATGCACCTTCATCTGTCCCTAGTTTCATCCCAGTCAGTTCATTTGTGCCTAGCTAGCTCCGGTCCGTGTTTCCTCAATGTTAGCTGCTGTCTGTGGTTCTGGTCCGTGTCCCCCTGTTGACTGTAGCTCTGGTCCGTGTTGTTGTTGTTGTTGTGCTGTTGTTTTTGTTGTCTGTGGTACCGGCCCTTGTGCCCCTGTTGTCCGCTGTCTGTAGTTCCGGTCCGTGTCCCTCTGTTGCCTTAGCTCTAGTGATGTCAATTACGGAAAATCGGAATACCGATACCAAACCA